GTGATCACACATAGCCAGACTAGCTGGTGACCACACTGCACTTTCTAGATGCTGAGATGAGACAGAAAATCTCCAGCAGATCGTTGTGTTGCTCAGGCCCCAAAGACAGGTTCAAACAGAACCTGAAGCAAACACGGCAGCTGCTGCTTCCAATCGTTGGTGACCACGAGGCCTCAGCTATCTCCATACGCATTGCCAGGGCTCTGGTTTCCCATTACTCTGGCTGTAACCTCATCCAGATGGCAACAGGAACATTCTGGGCCCAGGACAGCCACACTCAATTAGTCATAAAAACAAGTCAAAGGAGAATCGCAGATTAGTTTTCCGACCAAGTTCTGGGAACCATCGGCAGCCAAGTCGCTTGTCCTCACACCAAAACATTTTCCATACAGTCTTCTGCCAACAAATCGGTGCCAGATAATAAACAAGTCTTACACAAAATGGGGTAAATTTCAGGGGAAAGCTCCCTCAATGACATAATAGATAAAGGCACAGCCCGGGACAGCACTGAGCCCTAGGCTAGTGGGCGACTGGTTTAAATGCTGAGTAATGGGAAACCAATGCCCTGGTCTGTGCTGCATTAGTGGATTTCAGTCAGGGCTTACAATCGACCTCGGTCATGCGGCAGAGAAAGAAAATCACACGAGCAACAAGATGTACTTCCAGTTACTGCAAGGACTTCTTGTCCATGTGATTGAGATATTCTATCAAGGAATTGCATATTCATTAGCTAAACAGTAACTGGTTGATAGTAAATCACGCCAGGAATCTTTATATAGTATTTAGAGCCGCGGTGATTTAGAGCGGTGCTGTGGGCACATCTCACGCTCTGGAACAACATTCACATCCCAATAAACAGCTGCTCCACATTGACTCATGGAATCTGTATGAAGTGTTTTCAAGCTCTCTGGGATGCAACCCAACGTGAGCTATATAAAGGCAAGTTGTTGCTGTTGGGGTTGTTTAGTAATGTCCTCACAGTGTGGGCGCTGTGGGCAGTGTGGGCTCTGGGGGCAGTGTGGGCTCTGGGGGCAGTGTGGGCGCTGTGGGCAGTGTGGGCTCTGGGGGCAGTGTGGGCTCTGGGGGCATTGTGGGCTCTGGGGTCTGCGTCTCTGTCAGCATCTCTGCATCTGCGTCTCTGGTTGTGTCTGCGTTTCTGGTTGTGTCTGCCTCTCGTGTGTTTGCATCTCTGCGTCTGTGTCTGTGTCTCTGTCTGCGTCTCTGGCTGTGTCTGCGTCTCTGGCTGCGTCTCTGGCAGTGTCTGCGTCTCTGCGTCTCTGGCTGTGTCTGCGTCTCTGGCTGTGTCTGCGTCTCTGGCTGCGTCTCTGGCTGTGTCTGTGTCTGTGTATCTGTCTGGGACTCTGTCTGTGTCTCTGTCTGTGTCTGGGACTCTGTCTGTGTCTCTGTCTGTGTCTGGGACTCTGTCTGTGTCTGTGTATGTGTCTGGGACTCTGTCTGTGTCTCTGTCTGTGTCTGGGACTCTGTCTGTGTCTCTGTCTGTGTCTGGGACTCTGTCTGTGTCTCTGTCTGTGTCTGGGACTCTGTCTGTGTCTCTGTCTGTGTCTGGGACTCTGGCTGTGTCTCTGTCTGTGTCTGGGACTCTGTCTGTGTCTCTGTCTGTGTCTGGGACTCTGTCTGTGTCTCTGTCTGTGTCTGGGACTCTGGCTGTGTCTCTGTCTGTGTCTGGGACTCTGGCTGTGTCTCTGTCTGTGTCTGGGACTCTGGCTGTGTCTCTGTCTGTGTCTGGGACTCTGTCTGTGTCTCTGTCTGTGTCTGGGACTCTGGCTGTGTCTCTGTCTGTGTCTGGGACTCTGTCTGTGTCTCTGTCTGTGTCTGGGACTCTGTCTGTGTCTCTGTCTGTGTCTGGGACTCTGTCTGTGTCTCTGTCTGTGTCTGGGACTCTGTCTGTGTCTCTGTCTGTGTCTCTGTCTGTGTCTGGGACTCTGGCTGTGTCTCTGTCTGTGTCTGGGACTCTGGCTGTGTCTCTGTCTGTGTCTGGGACTCTGGCTGTGTCTCTGTCTGTGTCTGGGACTCTGGCTGTGTCTCTGTCTGTGTCTGGGACTCTGTCTGTGTCTCTGTCTGTGTCTGGGACTCTGTCTGTGTCTCTGTCTGTGTCTGGGACTCTGGCTGTGTCTCTGTCTGTGTCTGGGACTCTGGCTGTGTCTCTGTCTGTGTCTGGGACTCTGGCTGTGTCTCTGTCTGTGTCTGGGACTCTGTCTGTGTCTCTGTCTGTGTCTGGGACTCTGGCTGTGTCTCTGTCTGTGTCTGGGACTCTGTCTGTGTCTCTGTCTGTGTCTGGGACTCTGGCTGTGTCTCTGTCTGTGTCTGGGACTCTGGCTGTCAGTGGCAAATTTTGGCAAATGTGATTATAATAATTCTTCTGATCTTGTGTACCAGGAAGGAGCACATTGTGCGGTTTGCTCCCGGGAATCACTGTCACTCTCACTGCGGCTGAAACAAACTATCGCAGGAAATAAACCTGAGATTGTTCATCTATGAGAAACAAATCAAAGTGGATGTTCCAGTGATCGGGGGTTGGCTCTGTGTCTGGTTGTTTGCATCTGGGAATGTTGGGATCATTTTTACATCCAAGTTCCAAACAGGATTCCTTCCTTCCTTCCTCCCCGGTGGATTTGCCTGTGATTTAACAACCCTGAGACCTGAGACCCACCGCCTCCTCCACTCTCTCTCTCTCTCTCTCAGCTTCGCTCCGGCCTCTCGTGGATTTGCCTTTGTTAATTTTTACTGGAATTACAAGCCAACCTGGTGCCTGCCATGGACGGCCCTCGGGCCAGCGTGCTCCGCCGGGGACGCCGATCCCGAGCTCAGAGGAACCGCGAGCAAAGAGCCAAGGGGGGCAGAGGTGGCCCGCGGGTCGCCTGCATCCTCTCCTCCTCTGGCTCGGAGCGGGAGGACAGCAGCAAGAAGCCAGGCTTGTCCCGGCCCAGACCACCCCGACGCCGCAGGAAGGCGTCCATGTCAGGGGAGGAGGACCTGATCGATGGCTTTGCCATTACCAGCTTCATTACACTGGAGGGTCTGGAGGTAAGGCTGCCCAGGCTGGGCTTCTCTGCACTAAACAACACAACACAGTTGATACGGTAAATTGGTCTTTGGCTGATGGTGTTTCGTTGGCTCTGATCTGTTTCCCGTCTTGGCTTTTTGTCATGGGTTTGTTGTGTTTTACATTCATTTTCTAGTGCCAAATCAGAACAAGCCTTGAAGAGCATTGCCATCATTGTCCCTGTATTTCCTCTGTTACTTTCTCTTCCTCCCTCCCATGGAAACACATCAGCAACAGAAGGAATTGTTGAGGTTCAGAGAAGTGCTGAGGTGACAGCTGATGGGAGTCTGGCACAAAGCACGTGGCTCATGTCCTCTATGGGCTGCTGTATTGTTTGGTGACTTGGTGTCTCTCAATGGCCTGAGATTGTGTTTATAATATTAATAATAATAATCCTTGTATTTGATACAGAACCTTATCACGTCTTCCAGATGTCTCAGAGCTCTTCACAGAATATTCTGTAAAGTGAATTGACTGTATATTTTGTGGGTGAAACGTGGAAGCCAATTATGCACAGCAATGTCCCACAACAGTCGTGGATTGAGTGACCAATTGTATAATTGTGTTTTTTCTTGAGGGATTATCATCAGGCATGTGTGTGGAGTAAGGAAACTTGCCCAAGGAGTGCTGCTTCTACATGTTTGTATGGAAACAATTGGACTTTTTGCAAGAGAACAGGGTTACAATTCACCATGTGTATTAATGTTTCTCCACTTGACCTGTTGGGTGACTGAACCACTGCTTTGACCAGGGAAGCCCTGGTTACAGTCAGTGAGCATCAGTTTCAGTGGATACCAATGAAGTGATGTGACATTAACGTGAAGGAGATCTGTAAATACTGAATAGATTAATGAAATGGATTTCAAACACGCGTTTATATTGGAATTTGGTCCTCTGTTTACATGTATGACACATGCAGCGGTGTGTCTGTTCAGGGGGACGCTAATGGCACAATTCAAAAACAGAAGGGAGTTTCTCTGTCCCCGTGTCCTGGCCACCAATCCCCGGGTAACATCGCTCACTCACCTTGTGGCTGTTGGTGGGAATTGATGTGTGCAAATTGTCTGCCGTGTTCACCTCCCAACGACACAATCTCTACACTTGACAGTAAATCCTGTGAAGCGCATTGATGCCCTCCTGACACGAAAGATTCTGTATCAAATGTGAGGATTATTATTATAGGATTATACTTATTGCAGTGCATAATGTAGATTCCGGAGTGGGGCCGGAGCCCTGGCACTCAGTCTGCGCTGCGGGTTCATCTGTCTCTTATACATTTCCACACTGTCTGAATGTTTCTTTCTGCCGTTAAACCTGGAATTGGATTTGTTGTTTTTATTTCTGGCCGTTTTGTCGATGAAAAATATTTAACTTTCCAAACAGATTTATTTCAATTCCAGAAGTGTATTTGTGTATGCGAGTCTGTGTCTCTGTGTGTCTGTCTGCATCTGTCTGTGTTCTTGTCTGCGTGCCTCTGTCTGCGTGTCTCTGTCTGGGTGTCTGTCTGGATGTCTCTGTGTCCCACTCTATCTGTCTGCTTTTCTGTGTGTGTGTACATGTATCTCTGTTTGTGTATGTGCGCGTGTGTCTCTGTGTGTGCACGTGTGTCTCTGTCTGTGTTTGTGTGTGCACGTGTGTCTGTCTGTGTTTGTGTGTGCACGTGTGTCTGTCTGTGTTTGTGTGCGCGTGTGTGTCTGTTTGTGTGCGCGTGTGTCTCTGTCTGTGTTTGTGTGTGCGCGTGTGTCTCTGTGTGTGTGCGCGTGTCTCTGTCTGTGTTTGTGTGTGCGCGTGTGTCTGTCTGTGTTTGTGTGTGCGCGTGTGTCTCTGTTTGTGTGTGCGCGTGTGTGTCTATCTGTGTTTGTGTGTGCGCGTGTGTGTCTATCTCTGTTTGTGTGTGCGCGTGTCTCTGTCTGTGTTTGTGTGTGCGCGTGTGTCTGTCTGTGTTTGTGTGTGCGCGTGGTCTCTGTCTGTGTTTGTGTGAGTGAATCTGTCTGTGAGTGTGTCCATCTCTGTCTGTCTGTGTGCACATTGTGTGTCTTTGTGTGTCTCTGCGTCTGTCTGTGTGTGTGTGTATGTGTCGATCTCTCTCTGTCTGTGTGCCGCGTGTGTGTCTCTGTGTGCATTACAAATCTAATTGTGTTGTTTTACGCATGCATTTCTGCATCTGTGTGTGCGTGTGTGCGCGTGTTTCTTTGTGTGTGTGTGTGCATATGTGTCTCCTGTCTGTTTCTGTGTGAGTGTGTGTGTATGTATGTATGTGTCTGTCTGGGTGCGATGTCTATGTCTCTCTATCTGTGTGTCTTTCTGGCTGTGTGCGTCTATGCCTCTGTGAGGTGTGTGTGTGTGAGGTGTGTGAGGTGAGTGTGTGTGTGTGTGAGGTGTGTGTGTGAGGTGTGAGTGTGTGTGTGTGAGGTGTGAGTGTGTGTGTGTGAGGTGTGTGTGTGTGTGTGAGGTGAGTGTGTGTGTGTGAGGTGTGTGTGTGAGGTGTGTGTGTGTGTGTGAGGTGTGTGTGTGAGGTGTGAGTGTGTGTGTGTGAGGTGTGTGTGTGAGGTGTGAGTGTGTGTGTGTGAGTGTGTGTGAGGTGTGAGTGTGTGTGTGTGAGGTGTGTGTGTGAGGTGTGTGTGTGTGTGAGGTGTGTGTGTGAGTGTGTGTGTGTGAGGTGTGTGTGTGTGTGAGGTGTGAGTGTGTGTGAGGTGTGTGTGAGGTGTGTGAGGTGAGTGTGTGTGTGTGAGGTGTGTGTGAGTGTGTGTGAGGTGTGAGGTGTGTGTGTGAGGTGTGAGGTGTGTGTGTGTGAGGTGTGAGTGTGTGTGTGTGAGGTGTGTGTGTGAGTGTGTGTGTGTGAGGTGTGTGTGTGTGTGAGGTGTGAGTGTGTGTGAGGTGTGTGTGTGAGGTGTGTGAGGTGAGTGTGTGTGTATGAGGTGTGTGTGAGTGTGTGAGGTGTGAGTGTGTGAATGTGTGTGAATGTGTGTGTGTGTGTGTGAGTGAGTGTGTGTGAGTGTGTGAGTGTGTGTGTGTGAGGTGTGTGTGTGAGTGTGTGTGTGTGAGGTGTGTGTGTGTGTGAGGTGTGAGTGTGTGTGAGGTGTGTGTGTGAGGTGTGTGAGGTGAGTGTGTGTGTATGAGGTGTGTGTGAGTGTGTGTGTGAGTGTGTGAGGTGTGAGTGTGTGTGTGTGTGTGTGAATGTGTGTGTGTGAGTGTGTGTGAGGTGTGTGTGTGAGTGTGTGTGTGAATGTGTGTGTGTGTGTGAGTGTGTGTGAGTGTGTGTGAGTGTGTGAGGTGAGTGTGTGTGTGTGAGTGTGAGGTGAGTGTGAGTGTGTGTGTGTGAGGTGTGAGTGTGTGAGTGTGTGTGTGAGTGTGTGTGTGAGTGTGTGTGAGTGTGAGTGTGTGAGTGTGAGGTGAGTGTGAGTGTGTGTGTGAGTGTGAGTGTGTGAGATGCTGAGAAGCCATTGTGAAATGTTGGCTTTATCTCTTTTGTGAATGGATCTTCTGTTGAACTGATGTGAATGTTTGTTCTACTTTTTGTGCTGATGTTTGTTTTCTGTTCACAAACTCTGACTGTGTTGTATTTCTGTTGGTCAATGTTGTGTGTTACCACCATGTTGGGTGTCTGGTCCCACACTCTACAGTCATACTCTGTCTGTCTGTCTGTCTGTCTGTCTGTCTGTCTGTCTGTCTGTCTGTCTGTCTGTCTGTCTGTCTGTCTGTCTGTCTGTCTGTCTGTCTGTCTGTCTGTCTGTCTGTCTGTCTGTCTGTCTGTCTGTCGCACCTGATGTCTTTACTTCATAATTTGATAGTTAAGTGTATTGGTTTTTATTTTGATTTGGGAAATTTGTGTTAACAGAAATGCAGTGACTCTCTTTGATGTGTTGGTATTCAAAACTCACCCTTTGGTTTGCACTTTGGGCTATGATGATGATTAATGCTTTTTTCTGTGTTCTGGAACGCAGTGAATATTCTTGAATGGGAGTAAATATTGGTACAGTCAAACTCTGCCAAATGGTTTGTGGGCCTTTGCTGAATAATTGATCAGTGATGTTGACTGTAAAAAGATGAGGACATGTCATGTATTTATTGGCGTGTAACTGGGGCTGTGAATGGTATGACATGGATTACCCCTCCCTCACCCTCTCTCCTGCCCTCCTTCCTCCCCAACACATTCCTCCCTGACTGGAGTGTTGTTGCAGTGACAAGCTAAATGGTGTTGATGTAATTGGGTGAGTTGGAAAATTCAGACACGCACACATTTCCTCGGGAAAAATTCCCACTTTGCCTCTGTCCTTGTCCAGTGTTTGGCAGTGACTGTGCTCAGTGTCTGAAGATAAACCTGTGTTAAAGAAACACACTGGTGCTGAATGTGAACAGCTGGACACGTTTAAACCTTTTGAAAGGCAGACACATTAACGTCGATGGATGTCACTTGTGGATGCTTTGGTTAAATCATTAATATAAAAGTGTGAGAGGAGAGAGGACTCTTGTGTGACTGCAACATTGTGTTCCAATGAGAAGGTGTCTCTTTATTAATCGGCAGCACCTTGGATGGGAAGCCTGGGAGCAAATGTACCACGTGGAGGATTAGGACTGCAATAATCTGATTGCTTTTTGCAACAATATAGGGTGGATAATTAAACACCATCCGGGTAGCTTCGGATGTGGGTAAATGGGGAAAACATTTGATAATGAAATAGTTTCCACCTGGTTAGTCTGTTGAAACTGGGAGGCACGGAATTCTGTTTGACTCGGATGCTGTTAAGCACGGTGATGGGTTTCCGCATGTGGCAGACACCCGGCTGGGCAAACAAATGGGAACAATTATCATCGGTGATTATCGCAGTTTCTACACTTGTTTTTTGAAGTACAATCTCGTGGCAAGGAATGGGATTCAGAGTTGGTGTCTTTAGCAGCCTGTATTGTTTATTAACACCTGCTCCTCCCTCCTTTTCCTCTCTCCCTCCCTTTCTTTCCCTCCTTCGCTCCCTCCCTCCCT